CGAAAAACAATCAACACTATTTTAAAAGCAACCCATCCAAGTGGCTCATGTAACGTGGATTCCAGCCAAGAGCCTCCATCTACAAGCTTTCTTTTTTTCAACTCGCTCCTGCCAAATTCCAGTGTTGGCCTGACACTTGCTTACTTAGGTAACCTGATGGTACAATATTTCGAGAACAGGAAAGATGGGCTATTACAGCAGGGGTCAGCTCAATGCCCGACCACATAGGCGAAGTGAAAACATTTGGAAAAAAGGTCGCAAGGTCTCTCTTGTCCTTTCTTTAAGGAATTGTTAAGGCATTGCCTGGATATTATTGTATGAAACCATAGATATACGACAACAGTTCTGCCGACCCCTACAACCCTCATCAATATTGCAGGCGCCGTTCCTGCTTAGATAGTAATCTAGTATTTATTATTCATGGTCGAGACACGGGATTAAACCTCTACGAAACTTAATTTGTTGACTAATAAACGGCACCTATGAACAGTTAGTGTACAAGATTGTAAAAGGTAGTCAGTGCCATCGAAGGGCCGTCAAGAGACTCCGATCGAAGCGCGCGTTGGTGCGCGGTCGCCTCTAAACGGATTGCGCGAGCCACACGATCTGCGCTAATGACGGCCAGTGATCCGATCGCCTTTGACGCGCGCGCGCAGCCAGCGACAGAGCTAGCGGACGCCGACGCCAAAGCCCCAGCACCTACACCTGCACCCGCTCCCGCGCCCGCGGCCCGCGCTATCGCCCGCGCCATCGCCCGCCACCGCGTCCGTCCCCGGCGCCCACGCCAGTTCCCCGCACGCGCCATCACCCGCGCCCTCGCCCTCGCCCTCGCCCTCGCCCTCGCCTTCGCCCTCGCCCGCGCACGCGCCCGCGCCCGCGCCCGCGCACGCGCCCGCGCCCGCGCCCTCGCCCTCGCCCTCGCCCTCGCCCTCGCCCTCGCCCTCGCCTTCTCCCGCGACTTTGCCCCCCGACCTCGCCCACGCCTTCGTCAGTCGGTGAGCGCGTGCCCGTGATCTCGCCGCGTCAACGACCGCACCCGCGCTCCCTCGCCCGCACTCGCCCGTCCCTGCCTACACCCACGCCTAATCTAGACCGATGTCCTATGGTTCTACTCTTTGCTGTAGTAGGAATTTTGACTCTACCTAGATATCTAGATTAAATTCAGACTTCATCTGAAGAATTCTAATGAGTGGCTACTCTGATCAGCACTTGCCCGTGCTTTCATCGACCAACACCAGGCGAATGCCGGAGAAGTACCTTAACAAAAGGGCCACTGACTGAGCGCGATCTTTCCTGCTTCTTCCGTGTCCTATCCTCAACTCCCACTTACACACATACACACACACTTAAAACGCACTCTACTACCACACATGCCGGAAGGCCAATAGGAAGATCCAGCTTGGCCCCGCGGGAGCGGTGGAAGGTACCTGGTTGGAAACCCGACGTGTAGGTCGGCGCCGGATCTCGCCGGTCAGCGGGGAAATTATCTGCGCCACCTCCCGCGATAAAAACATATCCACCCTTCCGGGACTAGTGGCTGAGACCAGGAATCCCTGAGTCCGTCCTTCGACGCTCGGCGCGGGCGCTGACGCGCGCGCCGCCCCGGGCCTATCCGCGTTGGGGCTCGCGCGCCGCGCGGCCCACTGCCCTCATGCATATACAAGCCCGCGCCGCTATTGAATATAAATAAAGCGTTATTACCGGCCGCGTTTGCAGCCCAGCGACTTCGACCCGACGCGCTTATAATCCGGACGCACGCTTTTTGAAAACGCTCATTCGCTTTAAAATATGCAGCCCCCACGCGTAATTGGCCCAGGGGCCCGCCTCCTCCCCTCCTCCTCCTCCTCCTCTACGCAATAGCGCCGTGTGGGTACTGCTGGTCATCCGTGGGAGCTTCCTGCTCCGAGAGAGGAGGTGGTAGAATGGGCTTCAGGTGCAGTATGTTGCGGAGTTGATATGCGTTTCTATTTAGTGACGAAATTTCTTTATTTCGTTACTCTCGATGATATGATAATAATCATAATGATTATAACTAACAATATTAATAATAATATTAATAATAATAGTAATAATAATAGTAATAATAATAATAATAGTAGTAATAATAATAGTAATAATAATAAATTATTGATAATTTTGTCTCAGCTTGTCCATTTCTAGCTCTAGAAATCTAGCAGTTGGCCGCTCTGATCGGCAGTTTTCAGTGGTTTCTCCGGTCAATACCAACCAAATACCACAGCAGTAGCTTACCAAACGCGCCAGAGACTGGACGCGATTTCTCCTTCATTCTTTTCCTCTCCCTCCGCCTTGTACTCACACATGCTATTAAATGTACTACCTACCACACACGTCGGGAGATCAGAGGGGAGTCTAGAGCTTGACCGATTAGGGTGGTGCACCGCTTAGAGGAGATATTTGGAGGAGGGAAGTCCCACGCAAGCTTACGTGTTGCTCAGCGGCGGATCTGACCAGCCGGGGGGGGACAACATCGCCTCCTTCCGTGAGAAAATCATTCACTACACTACCAGGACTAATTACTGTAGTAGTTAACGTGCACGGAGATATTAATCAATCGAATTCTAGAAAATTTGTAATACATGTAAAGGCATGTTAATATCTTCCGTTACCTCCACTAACAGATTTATCACACCCTCAAACTCATACATTTACTCCAAGTGGCACCAACACTAAAAAGAAACAAGTGACTTATTTTTGAATATGTGTAATGTTCAACGACCAACAAATCCGTACTGATTGTACAATAGCAGCAGAAAACCCGATATTATCCTGACTCGGAGAAAACATCGTGTTTAATAGTAGATGTTAATAGTAGATACGATCAGATCAGTCACCAATAAGGCCCAGAAACGTATACATAAGAGTTTGGGTTTCGAGATCAGCCAGATGTAGGGCAGTGTAAAACGTACCAATGGTTATCAGAGCTCTTGGATTTTCTCCGCAAAATGCATGTTCGAACTGTCAGTCAATTTAAAGTCAAGAAAGTGCAAGATATCGCGATACTGGGGTCATACATTTTTTTGCGCCAAGAATTGTAGAGACACGTACAGTCACTATATCTGCTAATTAGGAAACAGCGTGCCACCTGGATTTAGTATTTTACCGATACCTAATGTCTTTTATCATCATTATAATCACAACCACCACCATAATTATAATCATTATATTTATTTATATTTCAATTTTTGCCCAACACGAGACATATTTATTGCCTTGTGAGATTCGCATCCTGCCGCTCTTTTTCGAATCACCGACGTTAGTCGATGATCTTCTGCATCAGTGGAATAGGCTTTACCAGTAAGGTTTATCTCTCTATTGCTGGACCCTAAAGACTTTTACATGGACATTTGTTCATCGTTTTTCTGTACAGAAAGTGGATGCACAAAGAACGTGATTCATTTACACTGTTTCGGCATCGAAACTGGATGAACAAGAATCAGCGTTTGACACAGTCATTTTGTTTTTTGTATGTAATCGAGATAAAAAATGTTTCCTTAGACACCGCCAAAAGCATTGAAGTCTAAACAGTAGTCAGCAATTGCGAACAGAATTCACATTCAAACACTGTTCATGTTGAGTGAGATACTTTTCATTGTGGTTAAGTTTGCAACCAATCGTGACTACGGCGCAGCAACTAGCGTTATTGAAGCTGAATCTGTGACGTCAAAATGGATAAAAGAAGGAACACTGTTTGCGTGCAATCCTGGGTTCAAAAATGTGAGAATGGTTTGAGAATGTATGAATGAGTATGATCGAATATGAATTGTGACAAGAAGACTGAAAAGTTAATCATATACGACGTTTGTCTCGTGTATTATTCTCAGTTCTCTTCTTTGCATCCGTTCACAATATCTCCTCTTCACGCACAAAACGAGCACGCCGCGCCACATGTGTGAGGAAAGGTGCCAGGAAGTGACGTCAAAGGCTGGATCTCACCATCCAGGGAAGGAAGATCGCCACCACCTCCCACGATATAAACATGCACTACACTTTCGGGACTAACGATCTTAGCATTTGACGCTCCCGTAATCACTAACCGCTCACTTAATCAAGCAATTAACGGACACCACTGATAAGAACAGTCGACTGACGAATTAGATTCAGTGTGTTCCGAGGCCCAACATTGGTGGGTTTTCACTCTGGCTACATTTCTAGAACTATGTTAGCCGATGACTGAAGGATAATTCTAGCAACCAGCTGCTCTGATCATCATGTTTGTTTTCCGATTGAGATTATTCTGAGCAATGCCTGGCAAATGCCTGAACAGAACCTTAACAGGCAGATCGCCCGCGATCTTGCCTTTCTCATCCTGCCCCTCATTCCCTTACACGAACACCTAAAATGAATTTCTTATCCTAGAAAAATATCAAACCTGCAATAATATGAATTTTGTTGAAATGATTATTGTTACGTCAACCTGTGGTGTAGAATTTTCTCAAATGTGTCAAGGTGTTGTTTGTTTGCGGTTTCTTAAAAACGTGTTCGCCATATGTGCAGTGATTATTTGTTTCCAGTACATAGCCTCCATATGTAGCCCTGTATGATTCCTAACTACCTTATCAGACTGCTTTTGGTGAATAGCCGTTGGTTATTGACACGTCGGCTCCTTGCTCCGGGAATGTATTCATCACTGGACGCTTCGGCGCTTTCATGATGACAGTATCTTGATTCGTGACTTGGAATATCTTCCACGAAATGATGTATTCATCGACTTACACACTTTTGGGATCGTGTAAGAAAATTCATTCCGTTGGTGTTGTTTTTGTTTAGGCCAACAATGTGATTCCATCACCTTTACAAATGTCTCGGCACGAGTATTGAAACAAAATATTGATTTATATTCCTGCTTATATTATTTTCTGCTTTATAATTCTAATAATATTGCGTGTATATATTTATATTATTTTATAGTTTTATTATTTTTTGATGTAGCTATGTAATAAGTGTTCCTAATTATATTATAATCATTATAATGTTATTAGTTTTGTGTGTTACAGACAGCACGTCTTCTGGGACTGGGTCCGGAAAAAATCGTACTTCTTGACAACAAGACTAAGTTTTTAGCCAAGTCGCAGAAAACCGCAGACCTGGTTCAGGTGAGTTTTTGGCCAAGTTCCTCTAAAGCATTTACATTTTACAGAGTATTTAAAAAGAAATGATTAATCTAACATAAACCTAGCTTGTGCAGAATTTATGTTGTATGAAACATATCGGTCTAAAAGGTTTTCATTAGAATTTACTCTCGAGCTTACTTTGTATCATTGTTATTTTAATGTCCCATTCGATTGTAGCTGATCCTCAGTTTATATTGCCCTGTCCTTATTTAATATTGTCCTGGCCTTATTGTGTATCAGTTTTGCATTAAATAAATTTTCCAGCTAATTAGCCCATTATTTCTGAATTTGATTTAAGATAAACATCTGCACGTTCTAAAGAATCTGGTACATTATCTATTTGTTCCAAAGTTTTGGACGCTCTGTAGGTTAATGTAATCCATTGTTTAATCGTAAATCGATGGTAAATAACTCAGCCCTCAGACAATGGTATGGCATTCGACAATGGCAATTCGTAAAAGTATCAGGGAGTATAAATTATTCAAACCGGTTTCTAACAAAACAGGAAGAGAAAGCTGTCTGATGTATACTTTATACAGCGTTAATTATAAGGCCTTGTGTATTCAATTGTGTTCAAGATACAATAGGTTGATTTAATGGATTAAATCTGTAAAAACGTTTTGTCTTAAGCCCAATATTGTTCCTCCTCTTACTTTGTTTTATTATCACACTGAATCTTGTCGAATTTCACGCTTTAATTAGGTGAAAAGTATGCAAAGGTGGGTGAGAAAGCACAAGTGCGAAAGTTGGCTTTTAAAAAGTACCTTCGAGAATTTCCTCATATTCAGTGATAAGTGAAATGTCTCTTAAAACAAATTGAATAGTATAACGCTGTACTAGTATTGTTTGAAGGTAATTTTACTTTTCGAACAAGCAACATATTGTCATCTTATAAGTGTGGAGCTTGACTTTGCAAAGTGTCTGGTAGCCTGCACGAAGGGTTGTTTATTTTTTTTCTCTGAAAATATGTTTGTTATTTGTTGCTGATACCTTATTGCTTGTTATTGCCTTCGATACAGAACTCTGTATTTGCTGCATAACTTACCTAATCGAGAGGATCGTGGTTAGAAGCATGGTGAAAATACTGAAGTGAGCTGGCGCCCGTGCTCACTGCGCAGCAGCAGATACGTCCGAAACACGTGACCTCATCATAAGCACTTCGTTTGAAAAGCCAAATCAGTCCCTGGACGCCATTCTACCTAGCAAGCGAGAAGTGTTGAGAAAAATGTTGAAAGTGACATAAAGTGATAGTTATCAACGGTGACCAACCAAAAAAAGTACGATGAAGGTGTAGTTGAAATGCAATATTTTTAAAAAATGCTTCATGTATCTGTGTCAATGACATGTAAGAAGGTGATAATTTTGATATCCAACTTTATTTAAAATTCTCGCTAATATTGTAACTCAAATTGGTGCATGAAACTCATTGACTGAAGTCTGATAGGCTGTGTAATAGCTCACCATGTCTTAGGAGGAAAATAAGAAACCAGCTGAATGATGCTACATGTTCTATTATGAAGGGAAATGTGAAAAGACAAAACTAGTCAAGTTAACATCTAGTTATTTAGTAAATAAGTAAATCTAAATAATTAAAATTGAAGTTGGGATAAATTAATAAAAAATAAAATCATGTCTAAAATAATGTCCTCAAACGACAAAATGCACTGTACTACTATCCTGATTGTGGATGAGAATATAGCCTGATACGAGTATCCCCGTAAAGTTGAGAGTTTAGTTCGACCTAATTCAAATATCCGAAACCCCAAAGAAACTACCTTGGTCCCTCCACCAAATAGGTTTCAAGAAACAAAATTGTTTCTAACTTACACATTTATTTATTTTAGGTTAAAATAAGTAATTATTTCACCTTGCATAAATATGATGCTTGTAGGACTATAAAATAAATTATCATACCATCTTTATAATCAGAATAGAAATGAAAGAAAAGTACTCAAGCCATTAGCAGTTAACACATTTTACAAGCACAGCCAAATTTCCTCGTTTAGTACAAAATGTATAAACGAAGAAATGGTACCTTTCACCACGAAACTAAACGGTAAATTAATCCCATTCTTTTTTTCTCCTTCACACTCCCACACGTAACGAATTCTACGTACACAACTTCGCGAGCACCCAACGCCCTCACATGGCACAGAAGCGAACGAAATTTATTTCGCCCGGAGTTTACAAAACACGCTCGCCCACGCGGCGCGTGCCCGCCGAACGCGCCAAAAGCCCGGGAGTTAATCATCCGGAACCCCGGCGCGGAGCACAGCTCGCGGGGCGAACGTCTGTCACTCGGCTGGCGAGGCGCCAGAGGTCG